CAAAGCTAATTGAATCAAATGAAAGTCAAACATATTCAAACAAAGCTATTTGAATCAAATGAAAGTCAAATACATTCTACAAACCTAATTGAGTCAAAACACATTCAAACAAAGTTATTTGACTCAAATGAAAGTTAAATACATTCTACAAAGCTAATGAATTAAATGAAAGTCAAACACATTCAAGCAAAGCTAAATGAATCAAATGAAAGTCAAACACTTTCAAACAAAGCTAATTGAATCATATGAAAGTCAAATATATTCTACAAAGCTAATTGAATCAAATGAAAGTCAATCACATTCAAACAAAGCTATTTGAATCAAATGAAAGTCAAATACATTCTACATAGCTATTTGAATCAAATGAAAGTCAAATACATTCTACAAAGCTTTTTGAATCAAATGAGAGTCAAATACATTCAAACAAAGCAAATTAAATCAAATAAGAGTCGAATACATTCAACAAAGCTAATTAAATCAAATGATAGTTAAACACATTCAAACAAAGCTATTTGAATGAAATAAAAGTCATATACATTCTACAAAGCTAATTGAATCAAATGAAATTTACACAATTCAACAAAGCTATTTGAATCAAATGAAAGTCAAACACATTCAATCAAAGCTATTGGAATCAAATGAAAGTCAAATACATTCTACAAACCTAATTTAATCAAATGAAAGTCAATCACATTCAAACAAAGCTATTTGAATCAAATGAAAGTAAAATACATTCTACAAAGCTATTTGAATCAAATGAAAGTCAAATACATTCTACAAAGCTATTTGAATCAAATGAGAGTCAAATACATTCAAACAAAGCAAATTAAATCAAATAAGAGTCGAATACATTCAACAAAGCTAATTGAATCAAATGATAGTGAAACACATTCAGACAAAGCTATTTGAATGAAATAAAAGTCATATATATTCTACAAAGCTAATTGAATCAAATGAAAGTCAAACATATTCAAACAAAGCTATTTGAATCAAATGAGAGTCATATACATTCTACAAAGCTAATTGAATAATATGAAAGTCAAACACATTCAAACAAAGCCTTTAAAATCAAATCAATGTCAAACACATTAAAAAAAAGCTTTTTAATTTAAATGAAAGTCACACATTCACACAAAGCTATATAAATCAAATGAAAGTGAAATGCATTCTACAAAGCTATATAAATCAAATGAAAGTGAAATGCATTCTACAAAGCAAATTGAATCAAATGAAATTCAAAAACATTCAAACAAAGCTATTTGAATCAAATGAAAGTCAAATTCATTGTACAAATCTAATTGAATGAAATGAAAGTCAAACACATTCAAACAAAGCTATTTGAATCAAATGAAAGTCAAACACTTTCAAACAATGCTACTTGAATCAAATGAAAGTCAAATACATTCTACAAAGCTAATTGAATTAAATGAAAGTCAAACACATTCAAACAAAGCTAAATTGAATCAAATAAAGTTAAACACATTCAAACAAAGCTAATTGAATCATATGAAAGTCAAACATATTCAAACAAAGCTAATTGACTCAAATGAAAGTCAAACACATTCAATCAAAGCTATTTGAATCAAATGAAAGTCAAATACATTCCACAAAGCTAATTGAATCAAATGAAAGTCAATCACATTCAAACAAAGCTATTTGAATCAAATGATGCGTGCATCAATGTGAACGATGAGCATGTTGAAGAATTATTCCAAGAAAGTCAAGAAAGCATGAATCTATACTTGGAAGCTTCTTCAATAGGTCAAACTTACTATCGGGGGCATCAAGACAAAGCCACGCTTTGTATGGTGGCGTTCTTGGGAGTTCTTGAAGCTTCTTGATAGTTCTTTAAGGTTTCTTTAAAAGCTTTCTTAGGTTTTTGCTTACAAGTTTTTACCTTTCACTTGAAAGGGTTTTTTCTTGTTTTAAGCACTTAGGATTTCTAATTGCATTAGGAATTGTTTTAGTCTAGTAGGCGTCAATAATAGCTTGGAGTGCAAGCTTGAGTTAGGATAAAATAGGCAAGTTTTATCTTAAGAGTAGTTAGAGTTTAAGTAGGATTAAATAACTAAATCAAAGTTATCTAAACTTGATTAAGTTATGCAATCCGTGGGTTTTTGTTAGGGGATTAGAATTCTAATTCAAGTGGGATTAGGATAATTGATTGAGTTTATAAATATAGGGTTGTAATCTTCGAATAACATACAAGTTTAATCATACATTCATAATAATATTTCTTATTGCTTTTGTTTAAGTTGGATTACTTAAATTCTTGATTGGTGGATTCCAATTTGCTGTTTTGTTTGTTTTAGTTAAAACAATCACCTAGGTTGATTAATTAGGTGGATTCTTGATTAATTAATCTAAGTTTCTTGCTTAATTCTTGGTGAATTTTCTGTATAGAATTAGGTTAGATTCATATCTTTGTGAGGCTTAGTTTTCGGACTAAAAATCACATCATCTTGGTATCAGAGCCAAGTTTCGGTAGAATTTAAACTGGTGACGTTAGGCTTGGAATTTTTGGCTGAAATTTTGTGGCAAGATTCAGAAAACGTAGATCAACATTGTGTCAAAATTTCGTGTCAATTGGACGCGTAACGAAGTCTGTGCAACCTCAAACTTTTGAGAGTGTTACACAAAGTTGCGATCTGGAGAACGGTTCTTATTTGCTTCAAGAATCAATCAAGATTCAATCTTTTAATCAAGATTTTGCATAAACTAAACCTGGTTTGTGTAGGAGCAATGAGTGACGAAGAAATCCCAGGGATTCCAAGGGGTTTGAACCTTGATCAAGCACATAACTTGCGGAGGGATCGTCAAATAGAGCGATTGTCACAACAATTGCAAGAAGTATTGGCTAGGCTTGACGAACGTGACAAAACTTCATCTTCAAGGAAGAACAAATCAGTTGCAATTTCTAGTTCAAGTGAAGACGAATATGAAAGGAGAAAAGCAAGTAGATCACGCCATAAAGATTCATCTTCGAGTGATGAACCTAGAAGGCATAGACGGAAGAACAAGGCCAAAGATGATGAACGAAATATAAGGTTAGATTTTCCGGAATTCAATGGTAGTATGCTAGACCCCGAAAAATATTTTGAGTGGGTTAGAAGAGCCGAAACACTCTTTGATTACAAGGAGTATGATGAACGAAAGAGGTGCAAACTTGCTGAATTAAAACTCACAGGTTATGCGAGTTTATGGTATGATAATCTCAAGAAAAAGAGACGCAAGGAGGGACGATCCAAGATCACTACTTGGACACAATTGCAGAAATATATGAAGCGTCAATTTGTGCCCCATGAGTACGTGCAAGAAGTGTTATCTCAAGATGCAGACTTTTAAGCAAGGAAATCAATCTGTGGAGGCTTATTTGTGTGAGTTTGAGAAACTATGTTTATTGTGTGATTTAGAAGAAATTCTAGGGCACAAAATAGCACGTTTTATTGCAGGTTTGAACGAAAATGTTCAAGAGAAGATTGAATTGCACGAATACTATTCGTTTGAAGAAGTATGCAAGGCGGCCATTAAGGTTGAAAGACAATTCAAGGCCAAGAAGACCTCAAGTGTGAAACCGTTCACACGCACGTTCACAAAGGCTAGTGACAAGCCTACCTTTGATAGGACTTCTTCTAATCCGTATGCTAAAGATAACAAACCCAGAAACAAGCTAGCAAGAAGGTGACCGAAGATAGAAAATGTTTCAAATGTGGGAGTGTTGGCCACATAGCAAGCAATTGCTACTCAAAACGCACTATGACGGCTCAAGAATGGGAAGAAGAGAAAGCTAGGTGCGAGGGAAATAGTGACATGGAGGTTGTGGTCGAGAAAGAACGTGATTTTGAAGAAGAGGAGGGTAGTGCCGAAGAGGTTGATGGTGAAACGCAAGGAAAGAGCTTGGTTCTAAGGAGAGCTCTTCACTCTAAACCTATGCCCGTTGAAGAGAATCAAAGAGAGAAAATCTTTTTAACAAGGTGCAAGGTGGAAGATCGATTGTGTGACGTAATAATAGACTCGGGAAGTTGCACAAATGTGGTGTCTACAACTTTGATCAACAAATTAGAGTGGCCTACAACCGATCACCCAAAACCTTACAAGCTACATTGGCTCAATGATGCTAGTGACGTGAAGGTAACGAAACGAGCCCTAATCACCTTTTCAATTGGCAAATATCATGATAAAGTTTTATGTGATGTATGCCCTATGGATGCTTGTCATATCTTATTGGGTAGACCATGGCAATATGATAGATTTGTCAAGTTTAATGGTAGGACAAATGTGTATATAATTCGAAAAGGAAAGGGGGAAAAATCATATGCATTGAAACCACTTGTTGATCATAGAATTAACCCTAGTTCAAAAGGTGCATATTTAATTGGGGAAAAGGAGTTGGAGAAAGAGATCAACAACAACAATATAGTATATATTATGGTGGCTAACAATGTGCAAGTGAATGAAAGTAAACAAGAAAAGAGGCTCGTGGAATTAGAAGTAGTATTTGCAAGAGTATTGTGATGTTTTTCCTAGTGAATTACCACCGGGATTACCACCAATTCGTGGTATGAACATCAAATTGATCTTATTCCGGGAGCTCCACTACCTAAACAAGGCAGCATATAGAAGTAATCCGGAAGAAACAAAGGAAATGCAACGTCAAATAGAGGAATTGATGCAAAGAGGCTACGTGAAAGAGAGTATGAGCCCATGTGCCGTGCCTACATTGTTAGTTCCAAAAAAAGATGGGAGTTGGCGTATGTGCATTGATAGTAGGAGTGTGAACAACATAACCATCAAGTATAGATTTCCTATACCTAGACTTGATGATTTGTTAGACGAATTGCATGGTTCAAAGCTATTTTCCAAGATTGATCTTATGAGTGGCTATCATCAAATACGCATGAGGGAAGGAGATGAATGGAAGACGGCTTTCAAGACTAAAGTGGGGTTGTATGAGTGGTTTGGTCATGCCTTTTGGTCTAACCAATGCGCCCAGTACATTTATGAGATTGATGAACGAGGTGTTGAAACCATTTCTTGGAAGGTTCGTAGTTGTTTACTTGGATGACATATTAATTTATTCTGAAAATTTCAATGATCATCTAATGCATTTGAGAAGCGTTTTGGAGGTTCTTAGGGAGAAGAAGTTGTACGCAAAATTGGAAAATGTTATTTTCTTGTTCCTAGCGTGACGTTTCTAGGTATGTAGTATCCAAAGATGGTGTGTCCGTGGATCAATCCAAGGTTGAAGCTATCAAGACTTGGCCCGTACCTACCAATGTGAGTGAAGTTAGATCGTTTCATGGTCTAGCGTCGTTTTATAGAAGATTTGTGAAGAATTTTTCCACGATAGTTGCACCTATGACTGAATGCTTGAAGAAAGACAAGGGAAAATTCGAGTGGACCAAGGAAGCCCAACGTGCATTTGATTTGGTCAAAAGGAAGCTATGTGAAGCACCCGTACTTGCATTGCCGGATTTTTCACAACCATTTGAGGTAGAGACCGACGCTAGTGGTGTAGGATTGGTGCCGTTTTGGTTCAAAAGAAGCGCCCTATTGCCTATTTTAGTGAGAAATTAAACGGTGCTAGATTGAACTATTCTACCTATGACAAGGAGTTCTATGCTATTGTGCGAGCATTGGACCATTGGAGTCACTATTTGCGCCCAAATCACTTTGTGTTGCATAGTGATCACGAAGCTTTGAAGTACATTCATGTCAACAAAAATTGAACCCTAGACATGCTAAATGGGTAGAGTTTCTACAAGCTTTCAATTTTTCTTCAAAGTATAAGGAGGGGAAAGCAAATTTAGTGGCCGATGCACTATCTAGAAGACACACGTTGCTTGGAGTGTTGAATTGTAAACTACTTGGTTTCGCGTTAATCAAGGAGTACTATAAGGGGGACGTGGATTTCTCTACAATCCTAGAGGAGTGTTCCAAGGGGCCGTAGGTTCCTATGTTTTACAAGACGGTTTTCTTTTCAAGGGGAATCGTTGTGCGTGCCTAAGTGTTCTATTAGAGAATTAATAGTAAGAGAAGTGCATGGAGGAGGGATAGCGGGACATTTTGGCAATAACGAAAACATTAACTATGCTGCAAGAGCATTTTTATTGGCCTAGAATGCTAGCGGATGTACAATCAATAGTTTCTAGGTGTGCAACATGTCAAAAAGCCAAGGCTACGTTTCATCAAGGCTTATATACGCCCTTGCCCGTGCCAGATTCACCTTGGGAAGACGTGTCTATGGATTTTGTAGTTGGTTTGCCAAGGACTCAAAGAGGAAAGGACTCAATCATGGTTGTAGTGGATCGATTTTCCAAGATGGCTCATTTCATACCTTGTCACAAAGTGGACGATGCTATGAAAGTGGCGGAATTGTATTTCAAGGAAGTGGTGAGACTACATGGGTTGCCGAACAGTATTGTGAGTGATCGTGATACAAAGTTCATGAGTTTCTTTTGGAAATCACTATGGAAGTTGGTGGGAACGAAGCTGTTATTTAGTACATCATATCACCCGCAAACGGACGGACAAACGGAGGTAACAAATCGAACTCTTGGTGTGCTTTTACGTGGACTAGTGAGCAAAACACAAAAAGATTGGGATATTAAGCTTGCTCATGCCGAGTTTGCTTACAATAGATCACCTACTTATGCCACAAAACACACCACCATTCGAAGTTGTTTATGGTGTCAATCCAAAAATGCCCATTGATTTAATTGAAATTCCAAAAGGGGAAGTGATTTCATAAGGATGCCGAGACTAAATCAAGTACATGATAAAGCTACACGCACAAGTTAGAGCTAGGATTGAACGTGTCAATGAACTCTACAAAGCACGAGCTAACAAGAACAAAAAGCCACAAAGTTTTGAAGTTGGCGACTTGGTGTGGCTACACTTGAGAAAAGAGAGATTTCCTAACAAACGAAGGAATAAATTGATGCCAAGAAGTGAGGGCCGTTCAAGATTATGAGAAGATCAATGAGAATGCATATAAGCTTGAATTGCCGGGAGAATATGGTGTAAGCGCAACATTTAATATTGGGGATTTGGTGAAGTATTTGCCAGATGGTGCTATTGAAGATTTGAGGGCAAATTCTTTTGAAGAAGGGGAGGATGATGCGTGCATCAATGTGAACGATGAGCATGTTGAAGAATTATTCCAAGAAAGTCAAGAAAGCATGAATCTATACTTGGAAGCTCTTCAATAGGTCAAACTTACTATCGGGGCATCAAGACAAAGCCACGCTTTGTATGGTGGCGTTCTTGGGAGTTCTGAAGCTTCTTGATAGTTCTTTAAGGTTTCTTTAAAAGCTTTCTTAGGTTTTTGCTTACAAGTTTTTTACCTTTCACTTGAAAGGGTTTTTCTTGTTTTAAGCACTTAGGATTTCTAATTGCATTAGGAATTGTTTTAGTCTAGTAGGCGTCAATAATAGCTTGGAGTGCAAGCTTGAGTTAGGATAAATAGGCAAGTTTTATCTTAAGAGTAGTTAGAGTTTAAGTAGGATTAAATAACTAAATCAAAGTTATCTAAACTTGATTAAGTTATGCAATCCGTGGGTTTTTTGTAGGGGATTAGAATTCTAATTCAAGTGGATTAGGATAATTGATTGAGTTTATAAATATAGGGTTGTAATCTTCGAATAACATACAAGTTTAATCATACATTCATAATAATATTTCTTATTGCTTTTGTTTAAGTTGGATTACTTAAATTCTTGATTGGTGGATTCCAATTTGCTGTTTTGTTTGTTTTAGTTAAAACAATACCTAGGTTGATTAATTAGGTGGATTCTTGATTAATTAATCTAAGTTTCTTGCTTAATTCTTGGTGAATTTTCTGTATAGAATTAGGTTAGATTCATATCTTTGTGAGGCTTAGTTTTCGGACTAAAAATCACACATCAAATGAAGTCAAACAACATTCAAACAAAGCTATTTGAATCAAATGAAAGTCAAATACATTCTACAAAGCTAATTGAATCAAATGAAGTCAAACACATTCAAACAAAGCTATTTGAATCAAATGAAAGTCAAATACATTCTTCAAAGCTAATTGAATTAAATGAAAGTCAAACACATTCAAACAAAGCTAAATGAATCAAATAAAGTTAAACACATTTAAACAAAGCTAATTGAATCATATGAAAGTCAAACACATTCAAACAAAGCTAATTGAATCAAATGAAAGTCAAACACATTCAATCAAAGCTATTGAATCAAAATGAAAGTCAAAACATTCCACAAAGCTAATTGAATCAAATGAAAGTCAATCACATTCAAACAAAGCTATTTGAATCAAATGAAAGTCAAACACATTCAACAAAGCTAATTGAATCAATGAAAGTCAAACACATTCAAACAAACCTAATAGAATCAAATGAAAATCAAAACATATTCAATCAAAGCTATTTGAATCAAATGAAAGTCAAATACATTCTACAAAACTAATTGAATCAAATGAAAGTTAATCACATTAAACAAAGCTATTTAAATCAAATGAAAGTCAAACACATTCGAACAAAGCTAATTGAATCAAATGAAAGTCAAACACGTTCAAACAAGCTTTCAAATCAAATGAAAGTCAAATATATTCTACAAAGCTAATTGAATGAAATGAAAGTCAAACACATTCAAACAAAGCTATTTGAATCAAATGAGAGTTAAATAAATTCAAACAAAGCTAATTTAATCAAATAAAAGTAAAATACATTCTACAAAGCTAATTGAATCAAATGAAAGTCAAACATATTCAAACAAAGCTATTTGAATCAAATGAAAGTCAAATACATTCTACAAACCTAATTGAGTCAAACACATTCAAACAAAGTTATTTGACTCAAATGAAAGTTAAATACATTCTACAAAGCTAATGAATTAAATGAAAGTCAAACACATTCAAGCAAAGCTAAATGAATCAAATGAAAGTCAAACACTTTCAAAGCTAATTGAATCATATGAAAGTCAAATATATTCTACAAAGCTAATTGAATCAAATGAAAGTCAATCACATTCAAACAAAGCTATTTGAATCAAATGAAAGTCAAATACATTCTACATAGCTATTTGAATCAAATGAAAGTCAAATACATTCTACAAAGCTTTTTGAATCAAATGAGAGTCAAATACATTCAAACAAAGCAAATTAAATCAAATAAGAGTCGAATACATTCAACAAAGCTAATTAAATCAAATGATAGTTAAACACATTCAAACAAAGCTATTTTGAAGAATAAAAGTCATATACATTCTACAAAGCTAATTGAATCAAATGAAATTTACACAAATTCAAACAAAGCTATTTGAATCAAATGAAAGTCAAACACATTCAATCAAAGCTATTGGAATCAAATGAAAGTCAAATAATTCACTAATTTAATCAAATGAAAGAAAAATCAAATGAAAGTAAAATACATTCTACAAAGCTATTTGAATTAAATGAAAGTCAAATACATACAAAGCTATTTGAATCAAATGAGAGTCAAATACATTCAAACAAAGCAAATTAAATCAAATAAGAGTCGAATACATTCAACAAAGCTAATTGAATCAAATGATAGTGAAACACATTCAGACAAAGCTATTTGAATGAAATAAAAGTCATATATATTCTACAAAGCTAATTGAATCAAATGAAAGTCTAACATATTCAAACAAAGCTATTTGAATCAAATGAGAGTCATACATTCTACAAAGCTAATTGAATAATATGAAAGTCAAACACATTCAAACAAAGCTTTAAAATCAAATCAATGTCAAACACATTAAAAAAAGCTTTTTAATTTAAATGAAAGTCACACATTCAAACAAAGCTATATAAATCAAATGAAAGTGAAATGCATTCTACAAAGCTATATAAATCAAATGAAAGTGAAATGCATTCTACAAAGCAAATTGAATCAAATAAAATTCAAAAACATTCAAACAAAGCTATTTGAATCAAATGAAAGTCAAATTCATTGTACAAATCTAATTGAAAATGAAAGTCAAACACATTCAAACAAAGCTATTTGAATCAAATGAAAGTCAAACACTTTCAAACAATGCTACTTGAATCAAATGAAAGTCAAATACATTCTACAAAGCTAATTGAATTAAATGAAAGTCAAACACATTCAAACAAAGCTAAATGAATCAAATAAAGTTAAACACATTCAAACAAAGCTAATTGAATCAATGAAAGTCAAACATATTCAAACAAAGCTAATTGATCAAATGAAAGTCAAACACAATCAAAGCTATTTGAATCAAATGAAAGTCAAATACATTCCACAAAGCTAATTGAATCAAATGAAAGTCAATCACATTCAAAGCTATTGAATCAAATGAAAGTCAAACACATTCAAACAAAGCTATTTGAATCAAATGAAAGTCAAATACATTCTACAAAGCTAATTGAATCAAAAAAGTCAAAACACATTCAAACAAAGCTATTTGAATCAAATGAAAGTCAAATACATTCTTCAAAGCTAATTGAATTAAATGAAAGTCAAACACATTCAAACAAGCTAAATGAATCAAATAAAGTTAAACACATTTAAACAAAGCTAATTGAATCATATGAAAGTCAAAACACA